GGTAATTTTTTTTTTTTTTTTTTGGCCAGGGAGGAGGCAGGGAGAGGGTACTGAGCTAGATGTGGGCTGCCCAAGGCTGGGATAAGATGGAGCCCCAAATTCATGGGTCGAGGGTCAGGAGAACTAGGTATAAGGGCTTATATTTTCCTGTCCTCTGTCTGGTCCAGCAGGGATTCTGGTAGATACACTGGGAGGTAGGGTAGGGGGACCTCTTTGACCTCTATCCCCACACAGCAGGAGAGAAGGGAAACGGTTAGAGACAGAGGGTGGGATCATAATCCCCTCTGGGGCTCCAGGTAGCTCTGGGCGGTGGAGAGGCCAAAAGATGACAGGGAGGTTGAAACCCATTCCTCCGTGGCGGGGAGAAGCCCGGGGTGTCTGTGTGGCCGAATGTGGGCCGACACTGCCCTCTGGTGGCTTCAGTTAGAATTGCCTGATTCCGATGCTCTGACCTAAGACAGCTCACCAATTTCACCTTTCTGTTCCACTTTCCTCTTCACCCAGTCTTCCCTGGGGCCTCAAAGCTGCTTCTTCACGAGCCACAAGATGTCTCACACGCAGGAATTTAATGAGCTCCCACTGTGTGCTCTGTTCTGTGACTGGTGTAGGCTTGTAGGTGTTCAGGTACAGTGAGACTGTCCAGGAAGGTGGAGGCTCAGTGCCACTTGACAGAGCCCTGGAGTCTCACAAGAGCTAGGCAGGGCAGATGCCAATACAGGCACCCCCTCCTGTTTGTCAGCCTCACCGTTCACAGTGAACACTGGGCTGTGTCCCTTCAAGCTTTATTTATTTAATTTGTTTGTATGTACATATGTATGTATGTATGTATGTATGTATGTATGTATGGTTTGCCTACATGTATATGTGTCAATGGAGGCAAGAAGAGGGGATTGGACCCCCTGGAACTGGAATTATGAATGGTTGTTAGCCACCATGTAGGTGCTGGGAACTGAACCTGGGTCCTCTGCAAGAGCAGCCAGTGCTCTTAACTACTGAGCCATCTCTCCAGCCCCTCCTTCAAGCTTTTTGCTGACAATGAAAACATACATTGTAGGGCATGGTAGCCCACACTTGTGATCGCAGATCCTTAGGAAATTGAGACAGGAGGCTCTGCATGTTTTTAATCCCAGGAGCAGAGGCAAGTGGATCTCTGTGAGCTCAAGGTCAGCCTGGTCTACATGCAAGTTACAGGCTAGTCAAGGCTGCATAATGTTTTAGTCCTGGTGTGGCCATTGCACTCATAAACTCACTGCATCTGTGGTGACCTACACAAGACCTGTGTGAGCCTGGGCCCTTCAACATTTCGCCCTGTATGGGGAAGGAGAGGGTCCTTCCTAAGGGACTATTGGCAGTTAGTGGTTGGGTCCTTCCTAAAGGACTATTGGCAGTTAGTGGTTGCTGGGGGAGGGGTATGATTTTCTTCAGGGGTGCAGCCAGTCACCCAGGCACCAGTCAATAACCCCCAGTCACTCTCGTGCAAGTGACTATACTTATACACAGCAGGTCACACACAAAAAGAAGATATGAAAAGTCTTCTTCCCAAAAGACTTGTTGGGAAGAAGAGGTTTCAATGGGAGAGGGAGGGGATGAGAGAGGGCAATTGGGGGTGAAAGTGACCTTCATTATATACATGTAGGAAGCTGTTATGACTTTTTATTTTGGGAGGGGCTAGAGAGATGGTTTATTGGCTAGAACACTGGCTGTTCTTGAAAAGGACCCAGGTTCAATCCCCAGCACCCACATGGTGACTAACAACCGTTCATAACTCCAGTTCCAGGGGACCCAATGCCCTCTTCTGACCTATGTGGGCATTGCATGACACGGGTACATCTACCTACATGAAAGCAATACACTCATACATATAAAATAAAAATAAATAAAATAGGTGGCTCCAGTGGGAGGCTGTAGGCCTGTGACGGTACAGAGGGTACATGATGGTGAAGCTGATGGCGGAGCTGATGGAGCAGGTGGCGCAGTACACCAGCGTGGTACAGGACTGTGAGTTGGACCTCCGTGGGTATAAAATTCCTGTCATTGAAAACCTAGGTGCTACCTTAGACCAGTTTGATGCTATTGATTTTTCTGACAATGAAATCAGGAAACTGGATGGTTTTCCCTTGTTGAGAAGACTGAAAACATTATTAGTGAACAACAACAGAATATGGTAAGTGTCTGCTTAGTGGAGGGTAATTTTCCCCGTGGCGTAAATGTTACAGTGTGCCCTGAAGATATTAGTGTATCCTGGCAGTTGAACCTACATGTCTCTTCTTTTTCTTTTTTTTTGTCTTTTTGAGACAGGGTCTCCCAGTAGCCCCAGCTGGCCTGAAACTATGTAGACCAGGCTGGCCTTGAACTCACAGAGATCCACCTGCCTCTGCCTCCCAAGTGCTGGGATTAAAGGCATGTGCCACCACACCCAGCCATATCCCTTCTTAAGATGAGAGAGAAAAGCACATTTTCAGTAGAGATCCAGAGATTAATTTGGGCTTGGTTTAGCCTTGTCTGCCACTATCCAGAAATCTTAAATATTTGTATGCTGACAGCAAATTTTTAATTTAAATTAAAACATGTTGCTGTGTATACATTTCAACTTCTAGAACAATTATCAGCAGGATCATTAAAAAGTACATAAAATTATTTTTCGTTGAACATCTGTGCCTCATACCTCCTGCTGTTTTTCTTTGCAACTGATTTCTAGAATATAATTTTGTGGAATTAAAATCGTTTTGCCCTTTGTCAGCTTTGGGCAAATTTGATGATTTGTGCTTTAAGCAATGGGTGAGTTGAGTGCTTTTAGATAGAAGCCAATTTCTGACTAAACATTCTCTTCTGGTGTATGTCTTGTGCCAGCTTTGTGAATGTAGAATCTCTGGGTCTTTCTGAACAAAAAAATGTTGTAAAGTTAGCTACATGGTATTCTTTTTACTCAGGAGTCTTTTTCTTAGATTCCATTAGAGCATGAGACAATGGAAAGAGGCCAGGAGGCACAGGTTTCTGAAGTCATCTTATTCCTATTGCTGACCCTGTGCCTTAGACCAAGGCTTCCTCTTTGTGCCTTGAGGCCATCCTTGAGATGGGTCTGGGAGGATCTTCTCACTCTGAGGTGTGAGATCTTTGCAAAGATGGAGATAAAATGTTTGCTTAATTTTTACTTATATTGAGAGCCTTTCTATTTTTATTTTAGCCGTATAGGTGAGGGACTTGATCAGGCTCTGCCCTGCCTGAGAGAACTCATTCTCACCAACAATAGTCTTGTGGAACTGGTAAGTTGAACATGGGGAAGCTCTATTTGAGGGGCAGGATTAAGCGTACTGCATACTTCTTAGAGAAAATTTGCAGAAATCTTGAAAATTTTACAGAGTACCTCATTCTCTTTGTCTTTGCCATCATTGTTTCAGTATCAAGGGCTTTTGTTTTATTTTTTAATTTGGTTTTGGTTTTGTGCTGGGAATTGGCAAGGCTTTGGAATTATTGTTTCGGATATCTTTTCTCACTCTGATTACCTTTTGATTTTAACTTTGTTGGGTGTCTCGGTAGGAAAGTTAGGTGTAGTAAGGAAAGTAGGTGTTAAGGTGTAGTCTAGTTCTATTAGTCATCATCATTACTGTTTCTGATGTTCTGTTGAAAGGTCCCTTTCCCTCCCACTTACAGAGAAACTTTGTAAGTCATTGTTTTCTAGAGTTGCAGTGTTTGATGTGACACCTAACCTCAAGAGACTGTTCTCAAGTGAGACAAAATGTAAAATACATGCCAGATTTCAGACTTAGTACTAAAAGCAAAAGTGTAAATTCTCTTAGTGTCTTTTTATATTGGTATAGAAATATTTTAGATGAGGATAAATATTAAACTTTTACCTGTTCTTCTATTTTAATGTAGCTACTAGAAAGTTTTAAATTGCATATCTGGGTCTCAGGAGATAGCTCAGTCAATAAACTGCCTTCCATGCAAGCACGAGAACCTGTGTTCTCTCCCCAAAATTCATGTTTTGTTTTGCTTTGTCTTTTTTTTTTTTGAGGCAGGGTTTCCCTGTTTCCTCAGCTGTCCTTTATCCACTTTGTAGACCAGGCTGGCCTTGAACTCAAAGAGATCTGCCTCCCAAGTGCTGGGATTAAAGGTGTGCGCCACCACACCCAGCTTGTTTTTTTTTAAAAAAACTGGGTACGGCCTGAGCTTTGTGATGCCAGCACTGGGGAGGCAGAGACAGATCTTGGGGCTTGCTGGCCAGCCAGCCCAACTGTTCATATCAGTTACTGAAAGAGGTATGTTAAGGTCTCACATCATAATAGTAGATTGGATTGCCTGTATGAAGTTCTGTCGGTTTAGATAACTTACTGATACCTACAGATTTTAAATTGGTTAATGTATTTCTGGGAACTGAGCCCTTTGATAAATCTGTTGTGACTTTCTGTCTTGTTATCCCTTTTTACCTTGAGGCCTATGCCATGTAATTTAATAGGCTCAAACAAGCTTGTTTTGGTGAAATTATTTTCATGATAAATTTTTTGCCATTCAAAATTTACTTGTTTGCTGTTGTTGCCTCTTTAAAAACTACATATGATAGGATATTTTCAATCCACTGTTAAGTCTTTTAAATAAATTATCCTATTTACACTTAGTGGCATTACTGGCATATTATACTTTGTCTATTTTAGAGCTTTTTGTTTGTCATGTTCATTCTCTATTTTGTATTTTTACATTTATGCTGTCTGTTTCTGTCATTCCATTTTTCCTTAACCAAGCAGTTTAGAATTTTTTTGCATTATTTCTATTAGCATCTTCATCAGAATTTAAAATTAACTAATATTTTAACCCTTCTCACCAGTGTGTCGTAGTGGCCTAACATGATTCATCCCCACAACTTGTTAATTGAATTTTTTTTTTGTAATACAATATTTTTAGTTAATTGAGAATTTCATGCATGCATACAATATATTTTTATCATAGTCACCACCAGCATCCACTCCTCCCAGATCTAACCCCCACTCTCTCCCAACTTTTTAAAAAATTATTATTTTTTTAACCCACGTAGTCCTGATTTGCTGCTCATATACTCATAGGTGTGGGACCAGCCACTGAAGCATGGTTGACCTGCCAGGGGTCACACCCTTAAAGAAAATGACCTCTTCCAGAAGCCATCAACTGCCAGTAGCTCCTCAAGATAGGGGTGGGAGCTCATGAGCCCCTTACCCCACATGCTGGAATGTCGAGTAGTTTGATCTTGTGTAGGCAACCACAGTTGCAATGAGTTTATGAGTGCAACAGCCCTGTCATGTCCAGAAGACACTGTTTCGTTCAGGTCCTCCCCAACTGCTGGCTCTTAGGAGTTGCTGATCTTGTGAGGAAGGGTTGTGCTACAGATGTCCTGTTTGTGGATGAGCCCTCCAGACACTTAATTCTCTGCACTTTATCAGTTGTGAGTTTTTTTGTTAACCACTGTCCACCACCCAAAGAAACTTCTCTGATGAGATTTGAGAGCTGTATTAATCTTTAAGTATAGAGATACAAATTTAGAGAACAGTTTGAACTATGTTCATTCAGCAAAGCAATAGTAAGTTTACCTCTGGGGCCTATGAGCTTCCCAGCCAAGGTTTCCTGGCCAGTTATAGTACCAGGCTTACATTTTCTCCTGTGGAAATAGGCCTGAAATTGAATTCAAAAGCAATTGAACCGCCATAATATGCATGCCACTATTTTACCCATGGGCATATTTTGTCATTCCAGTAGTTGTTATAGCTCACTATTGATGACCTTTCCCCTGAGCAGCCTGCATAGCACCTTTGGGTACTGTGAAAGCTAGCCAGCAGGGAGAAAGCTTTCTGGTCAGTACCTGTGACCAAAATGTATGCTGTCTTCAATAGGGTTTTAACCATCCGTTTCTCATGGGCAATCCAGAGCAATGGTAATAGCGTATACTGGTGGGTTTTGGATTGTTTATTTTTAGACAAGCTATTATTACATGCTGACTTGGAATGCATTATGTAGCCAGGCTGGCCTTGAACTCATACAATCCTTCTGCCTTTAGCCTCCCAAGTGCTGGGATTATAGACATGAGTCACTACACCTGGCTTTAAAACCAGTATTTCATCAGCACAAAGCTCGTATGTAGCAGGTACAGGGGTGGGGGGGTGTCTCTGGTCATTGCCTAAGGGATATGTGTGTGTGTGTGTGTGTGTGTGTGTGTGTAAATTTTATTTTATTTTTTTGTATTTTTGAGACAGAGTCTCCCTGTAGCCCCAGCTGGCCTGGAACTAACTATGTAGACCAGGCTAACCTTGAACTCACAGAGACCCGCCTGCCTCTCCGCCTCCCAAGTGCCAGTGGTGGCATCATGCCTGGCCTAAGGTATTTTTTTAATAAACTTTTTAAAATAAATTTATTCACTTTTTGTGGTACTAAAAATTCAACCTAGGACCCTGTGCATGCTAGGCAAGCCCTCTACCACTGAGCTACAGGTCCAGCTATTTTTCGTAAACCTATCAACATGCCATCATTGTTTTATATTGTGTAGGCGTAACAAACACTTTGTTTTATTCCTTTTGGCTCCTCTGTGGTGGTCGTAAGCTAGTACCAAGCTTTGCCGCTCCTTCTGACACTGTTTGTGAAGATAGCTGCTTGCTTTAAGAACAGTCTATTCCCCATTTTTGCTTTATAGAAATTATGAGCCACTTCACAAACATCCCCGCCATCCTTGTATAAGACCACACTGACCCTGTCTGCACCCATACAGTTTCAGTGTATATGCTGCAGAAGTGTGCACTCCTCTGTTTTAATATGTACTATTTGTTTCTCATTGTCCTTCCTTCCTGGGCTGCTCAATTTAGGTCTGTTTCAGTTTTTCCTTAGTGTAGGACTTTGTCTGGAAGGGACACAATTTGACCAGCCAGGGCTATAGAGCAAGACTGTGTCTCAAAGGAAGCGGTGGGGGGGCGGCATGAGGACCCACTTTGCCCACACCACATCAGACCTTAACTCCCAACTCCCTGTAGTTAGTATTGGAGTGTGCAGATCTGTGGGCTGTTCTTAATGGAGCATCTGTTGATTGCTGTGTAGTTCTCCAGTTTATCACATGCCTTCTTGCCTTCCCTTTGCTTCATTCTGCATAGATCCAGTCACCATGCAAGTCTAATTCCTCTCACAGTGATTCCTACTAACTATTGTTTTAGGATTTCTAGGAAATACCTTGTGATCTAGTTTGTTTTAGCTTTTGATCATAGGCTTTTAGTGTTGCTGTCTTTGTTCCATGATGGTTTCTGGGCCAGTTGGGAAACTTGAAAAACTATCCTGCTTTCCCATAATTTTTTTTTTTTTTTTTTTTTTTTTGCATTGTACTACTTGCTGGGCATGGTAGCACATGCCTTTAATTCCTGCACTTGGGAGGCAGGAGGATCTCTGAGATCCAAGCCAGCCTGGTTTACACAGTGAGTTCCAGGTCACCTTGAGCTTCAGGGAGACCCTGTCTCAAATAGTACTACTCATCTTGCTCTTAAAAATATTTGAAGAGATTGGGAGTGCGTGGCTAGGATAACTGTGCCTTTTCTCAAAGATAAGTGCTCTCCAAGGCACTTGCGATATGCAGACATACACCTGTAATCCCAGCACATGGGAGGCAGGGGCAGGAGGACCAGAATTCAAGGTCAGCCCTGGCTATAGGAGATCTATCTCAAACAATAAAAACACTACATTAGATCAAGATCTTGGTTTGTGTTTCCCTGTATAACTAGCTTGCTCTAGGGTAAGTCATATCAGCATTGGCATTGGTTTTTGTTTTGAATCATTGCTTAGTAGCCATTTTGAGATTACTATAGAAAACCAAATTTTTGATCTTCTGTTAAAGCAAGTATTAATACCAAGATTCAGAGATGTTCTAATGTATTCATCAGTTCATTCAGTAGGAGGAATTTAAGTATTTGTGTTGTGCTAGTATTGGACTAGGTGCCAGCACAGTGAAAAAACAAAAGATAATATGGATACTTGCTCCAAAGGCACTTGTATCTCAGAATATCAAAAGAGATACCATGTCTGTCAGCCTTGTTCTTATCTTGGCTCTTGTTTTATAGGGTGATCTGGACCCTTTGGCATCTCTCAAGTCACTGACTTATCTAAGGTATGGAAATTATGATGATTAGTGAAGTCCTTAAAATAACATCTTTGTCAGCTTGATCTTCAGACACTTGATGTTGGATCTCTTTCCTCAGTGTTACTTGCTAACTGTGACAGTGTAATGTGAAGAATGTACTTTCTCTTGAATTTTAATCATTACACTATTCAAATAACCTCTTAAATGATATGGTATGAGTAAGATTGGCGTTGTACCTTTTCTTGTAGCATGCTAAGAAATCCTGTAACAAATAAGAAGCATTACAGACTTTATGTGATTTATAAAGTTCCACAAGTCAGAGTACTGGATTTTCAGAAAGTGAAGCTAAAAGTGAGTATTATTTACTGATTGTGAGTCATTATAGAGTTCTATCTTATTCTTTATACTTTTACTACTGATTTTTAAGTTACTTAATAAGTGAACTTTTACCACTAGTTTGAAATTTAAAATGTGTGAACGAAAGCATAAGTCAGATTTTTTTTCTCATAGCAGTTTATGGTAGCACTTTGTTGGCCATTCCAGAGATGGCAAAATTCTAGGGCCACACAGTAGATTGTCCGCTTTGATACATTACCAATAAGGGGCTTACTGTAATCCAATTTTCTGCCTGTTAAGGTGGCTCTTCTCTTTATTGAGCGTGCTTGTTTTTCTACTTCTTAGTTCCTTAGGAGTCCATCCCTCTTGAAACTAGGAGAGAGAACTTTCTTTGGGAGCTTTGCCAGAGGAGGCCAGACCACTGTGCCTCCTTCTAATTTAATGTTGGCTTTTGGTGTTTTAACCAGCCCATAGTACTTCAGGAAATTTCTCTTCCATGTTTTCTTGAGGAATGCATCTAAATGCATGTGGTATCCCTATTTCTATTAACTCTGTGTGTGGTGTTGCTGTAGGAGCGTCAGGAAGCAGAGAAAATGTTCAAGGGCAAACGGGGTGCACAGCTTGCAAAGGATATTGCCAGGAGAAGCAAAACGTAAGATACGGATATCCAACTTAACTCCACTTCACCTTCAGAAACACTACTGTCTGGCAGTTTGCCTCCTACAAAATTAAACCCAGAACTGGTTAATGTGATTTAAATTTGAGTGCTGGTATCTATGGCCATCCATGATCCATACATCATGGGAAATTCCTACAAGGTTAGCAGAACAAATATTTGTTTGCTGTCATAATGTGGTATTATATATCCTGCCTTCTCTATAGGAAGATGGATTGGGTGGTGTTTCTGAAGGAGTGAGTTCTTGTATCAGTTTGTTAACAAAGATGAGATACTACACTGGTTGAATTACTTTCAAAATGAAAGTAAGAGAAGCAACTCAAATCAATCAGAATTTAACAATTACATTCTTCCTCCCAAGTTTCAATCCAGGTGCTGGTTTGCCAACAGACAAAAAGAAAGGTGGGCCATCTCCAGGGGATGTAGAAGCAATCAAGGTAATGGTGTATTCAAATTCGTGGACTGGAGAGAGCTGAGATGGGGTTAGAACGTACAGTGTGTCTGAGTTCTGAACCTGGCAGACTCCATTTTCCCATAGTTGTTAGGATCCAGCAATATTTTTAGTTCAGGAAAAACTAGCTTAAATTTACTATTTGACTGGACTTTGATTTGAATTAATTGCACGAACTAATTAAAAACATCTATGTCTTTCCTTTTCATGGGATACTTTGAGTGGTTAGTTAGCTTGGCGTGCTGTTTTAGGGTTTGCCTTAGATTTTACTTTGCTGAGTTTTTGCTATCTGACAAGTCTTGTTGTATTAGTGGAAAATCTTGATTTTCTATTTTAATGAAGCCTCCAGTAACAGAATCCCAGCAGATACTTAAGTTTAATTTTAAGACATGAAATGATTTCGTCTTCTCTTTTGTAAGAGCCTGCATCTAGTCCCACATTTTGAAAATTTATGATTTGGTGTCTAGGTTTTTTTTTTTTTGTTTTTTTTTTTTAAACATACCAGTAAAATTCTTCCCAACACAGAACTATGTAATTAATGTTCATGGAAAACTTGCTTTGAATTTCCTAGGTATCTTCTGGGTAGTTAATACTTCATTGCAATTAATTGCCATCTCCCTTTTACTGTGTCTTTCAGAATGCCATAGCAAACGCATCAACTCTGGCTGAGGTAGAAAGGCTGAAAGGCTTGCTGCAGTCGGGTCAGATACCTGGGAGAGAACGCAGATCAGGTCAGAAAACTTCTGTTTCTGAACTTCCAAAAGTCATTATACTCAAAGTGGTTTCTGGCTGGCATAATGGCACAGGCCTGTAATCCTAGCACTTGAGAGGCAGAGGCAGGAGGATCAGGAGTTAAAGGTCATTCCCAGCTACAAAGCAAGTTATGATCAATTGGGCTATGTGATACCCTTTCTCAAAAAAAATATGGATTCAAGCATGGTAGGCAAGTACTGTATCACCATGCTTGAGTCCACGGGTTCAGTCCACAGCACCATAAGACAAAGCAGTTACGTTGTTACACTGTCCATACGTATGTATCTATTAGCTGTTCTACGTGATAGAGATGCTCATGAAACATTTGAACATTTGTGAGCCTTTCACTTCAGAGAAAACAACTGATAGTTGTTTTACCAGTGATAAAATTAAAGTTTTCAAGCGGAAATTTAAATTTGGAAAACTTGGGCTAAAAGTATAATTGATAAAGCACTACCTAGCATGCATGAGACTCTGGATTCAAGCCTCACCACTACAAAACCATTGTCAGCAGCCGTGTGGGTGCTGGGAACTGAACCCTGTCCTCTGCAAGATCAGCCAGTGCTTTTAACCGCTGAGCCATCTTTCTAGCCCCCACTGCTATAATCTTGACATCTTCCTCGTATCGAAAGACATATCTGGAGAAATCGATGGGAAGTTAATGAATATGACTTATAATATTGTGTCAGCAAATGGCTCAATGTTTGGAAGATCTACAAAACTCAGTAAATGAATTTTTCCACATATTAGAAGTGCCTGTGTGGGTAAAGGATTCATTCAAAGTACAAGCTAGACCATTAGATTTTCAGAGAGTATGAAGAGCTCTTTGAGCAGATTTCAGGCCTCACTGTAAACCCACCTTTAAGAAGCTGCCACTTACAATGCAAGCATTCCCTGGTAGCTTTATCTAGAAATCTAATATCTGGATATGACTATAGAAGCTATCAACTTGAGGGGCTGGAGAGATGGCTCAGGGGTTAAGAGCATGGCTGCTCTTGCAGAAGACCCAGGTTCTATTCCCAGCGCCCACATGGCGGCTAGCAACCATCCATATCTCCAGTTCCAGGGGATCTGATGCCTTCATTAAATTTATTTTATGTGTATTTGTGTATTGCCTGAGTGTATATAAGTGCACCTGTGCCTGTGGAGGTCAGAAGAAGGCGTCAGATCCCCTAGAACTGGAGTTGCAGATGATTGCTAGCCTCCATATGAGTGCTAGGAATCAAACCCAGGTTCTCTGCAAGAGCAGTCAGTGTTCTTAACTGCTGAGCCATCTCTCCAACTCTATAAATAAAAAAAAATTGGGGGGTGCGCTCTTTTTGAAACAGGGTCTCCCTGCAGCCCCAGCTGGCCTGGAACTCACTATGTGGACCAGGCTGGCCTTGAACTCACAGAGGTCCACCTGCCTCTACCTCCCAGGTGCTGGGACTATGGGCGTGCGCCACCACCCCTGGTTTCAAATAAAATATTTTTAAAAAGAACCTATAGACTTGAACATGAGCAGTTTTCCCAGATAATTGAGTTAAAATATTTTCAGACTACATTTAACCAAAACCCTTTAAAAAAAAAAAAATCCTGCCACAAGTTACACTTGAACAAGTATAACAACTTTTTGTTGGTTGTTGGCATGTTTTCCTTTTCCTAATTGAGAGACAGAAAAATTACTGGAGTGTGTTTTTCAGTGTTTACAGTTTCTTGTGTGAAGTAATGGTGAGAACAGAACACAAATGTGACGCCTTGGGTTCAATCCAAAACACCACAAAAGACCAATAATTATAATAAGGAATTATCAGCATCAAAGGGATGCAGCGGTTTTGGCTGTGGCAAAATACCTTTATGACTTCTCTCTGGCCTTCCCTTCCATACTTGCTGTAAACTTCTTTAAGGCAAGAGCTGCTTTGTGTCTTTTTGTACCTGGTCCAATGCCTGCCACAGTACCCACAGGATGGGCGCTCAATCGGCTGTGTGAACAGATTCTGCAAAACTGACGTGACTTCTGGTTTTATGGGGTTTATTTTCAGGGCCCAGTGATGATGGTGAAGAAGAGATGGAAGAAGACACAGTCACAAATGGGTCCTGAGATCCCTGGCAGATGTCTCATAGGCACTTTTGGGACAAGTCTTGCTTCTTTTGAGCATAGAATAACAGTCTTGCTTGTATCAGCAACGTGGAAACAACCTATCAGCATTGCTGAATGCTTGAAACTGCTGCTGATAATTTTTTAATATGAACCTTGGAATCTAAATGTCAGTTTTCTACAAATGGTAAAATAAAGGCCACTCACTGTGCTGCCAGGTTGCTGCTGTTGTGTGTTTAAGTTAGACATGCAGTAGGATGCATTCCTAAGTAAGCATCCCTACCATTTATGAAATGTTACATTGAAATTCTTCATAAAGGCAGACTGGCTTTAGGACTTGCTCAAATCAGCATCCTTTGACTTTTATTTCTTTAAATTTTATTTTATATGTATGCGTATATTACCTATATGCATATAAATGCACCCATGTCATTCAATGCCCACAGAGGTTAGAAGAGGGTGTTGGATACCCTGGAACTGGAGTTATAGACAGTTAGCCACTGTGTGGGTGCTGCAACCTGAACCTGGGTCCTCTGCAAGAGCAGCCAGTGCTCTTAACTGCTGAGCCATCCCTCCAGCCCCTTTTTTCATCTATTTAATTAAATTTACATATGAGTATCATGTAAATTGTAAATTTGAAAAATTATAGATGGGAATGAGACTTCTGCTTGTTGGTGATAGAGTGTGAGCAGAAAAGCAGTGTCTTCCAGCCTGTGGGAAAGGGCTCAGGGTCATGGCTTCCCTGGGGGTAGGCAAAGGCACATTTTCCTCAGCACCTAGATGTTTTATTGTATTCCTATTCGGTTGGCATTCACCAAGGGAAGAAATTTTTGTTTATTAAATTATTTTATGTATTTTTGTTTTTTAAGTACTACTGCCTTGGGCTTTCTACTAGACATTCTAGTTTCGTTGGTTTAGGATGTTTTGTTTTTATGTTGTTGGGGTTTTGTGTGTGTGTGCTGTATGTATACATATGGATACTGGTGTATGTGCCTATGCACACATGGAGAACGCAGAGGCCAGTGTCCAGCCCTCTCATCTACTTTGTTCCCTTGAGTGTTTCTTACTGAGCATGGAGCCAGACTGGCAGCCAACAAGTCCCAGTGATCCTCCTGTGTCTCTCCCTTCACAGTACTGGGGTTACAGGCATGCATAGCCACATCTAGCTTTTTATATGGGTGTCAGGGATTTGAACTTTTAATTTTTAAAAATATTTTATTTTTATTTTATGTGTATGAGTGTATTGCCTGCATGTATGTAGGTGTACCTGTGTCACGTAGTGCTATGGAGGTCAGAGGAGGGCATTGGATTCCCCTGGAACTGGAGTTAAGGACGGTTTATAGCTGCTATGTGGGTGCTGGGACTCGAACTCGGGTCCTCTGCAAGAGCCGTCAGTGCTCTTAACCCCTGAGCCATCTTTCCAGCCCTGATTTGAACTTTTATACACTGAACTAACCACCCCTGGTTTAAGGTTTTTAAAGCCCTTTGATGATACTAAATGGGAGAAACACAAAAATAGTACCTGAATACTTTTCTGTGCTTACTGATCACCCAACTGATAGGCTATTCTTACAAGGCAAATACTAGATGCCTAAGATAATGGCTCCCAAGTGTCTGGCTCAAAGGAGCCGTAGGGAATAGTGACTTCCACTGAACCCGTCTTAAGCTCTGCTTCATCCTGGGCTGATTTAGAGTTTACTTCTCAGTATCTTCAGTGAGAAACAATGAGGCTGCCTATACTGCTTCTGCAGCCCTCCTGTTTATCCTCTGCTGCTGATAGGACAGATAAAATGGTTTCTTTTCACTGGGGGTGTGACTTAATGGTAAGTCTTAATGCTAAGACTGCAAGGCCCTGGGCATCCCTGAGTACCAAAGGAAAAAAAGATTCCAGTTTTCCCTGTCTTCATTTGTGACTGCAATAAACTTGGTATCCTGGGGTAACTATCTGATTACAAATTCCTTACCTAAAAGTAGCTTAGTTTGGAACCCTGGCCTGACTATAGTGCAACACTTGGGAATGATGGAGACTTCTGAGCCATTCTCTGAATTAGACTGGACTGAGCAGAAATGTGTTAGTACCAGGCAGTTAAGTATTTGAGGTACTGTAAGAAAAACGCAAAGGGAACTCGTTGACATACATCACGTATGCCATTGTTCTTATCAGGGACTTTGTAAAGCTATTAAGAGGTAAGTGAGGGCTCCTGTGTTCCATCTGTTTCAGAACCCAAGTAATGAACTGGGTTTGCTTCAACCCACATTTTCCCTGAATCCCAATGCTTTCTATGTATAGTTTTACAGAGCACAGGGTTCATTCTGGTTAACTTCTCTCATGTTAGAGAGGAACTTGTATCACTTGAATGTGTTTTCCATGGAACTACATTGATACTGATTTGAATTTTTGTTTGGGGGGCAGTGTCTCACATAGCCCAGACTGGCCTTGAACTCCTGATTATCCTGCTTCCACCTTCCAAGAGCTGAGTTTACAGGTGTGTGCCACCACACCCAGCTTTGAATGTTATTTCTGTAGTGTGTGTATATAATTGGGAATGCCTTGGTTTTGAGGCTCAAGGAACTATAAGTGAATTCATGGATGTAATTAGCAGTTTAAGGTCCCATTCCAACTTGATTAGATTTTCAGAGGAGAGCCAGCAAAATGGCTTAGTGGGTAAAGGCTCCTGCTACCAAGACTAACCTGAGTTTGATCCTCAGGACTCCCATGGGAGAAGAGAACAGATTTCTCTGTACACGTGGCCACACACATTCTCATGCTCACAGTTTTTTTTTAAGTGTCAGTGTAAAGGGGCAGGGCCTTATTCATGTTTGAGCAGCACTCACTGCCATTGCCATCTCATAGCTCTTCAGTACCCACACCCTTATTCCCATCCTGTTGCTGCTCATTTTGTGAAACACCCAAGTTTGTCAGTTTGCCAGCAGCTACAGCTACAATGATGCTTCATAGCAAACTGCCTCAAAACTCAAGTTTCAAGCAATGACCATCCCTTGTTCTCATACTTGGCTCTGCTTTTTTTTATTACCCTGTGTTGATTATAAATGTGCATATTGTCTTTTGATCACATACACCTGTTTCCCTCTGTTCTATGATAAAACACCAAGTCCAACACCAACCAAACCAACTTGGGGAGGAAAGGGTTTATTTGGATTACATAGCTGAGTCACAACAGTTAATCACTGAGGGAAACCAGGGCAGGAACCTGGAGGCAAGAACTGAAGCACAGACCATGGAGGAATGCTACTTCCTGGCTTGCTCCTCTGGCCTGTGCTTAGCCTGATTTTTTTATACAACCCAGGCTAGGACCACCTGCTCAGGGGTGGCAGGGCCCTCTCAACATCACTCAATCAAGAAAATTCCTCGCAGGCAGACTCACAGGCCAATATGGTAGAGGAAATTCCTCAATTGAGGTTCCCTCTTCCCAAGTGTGTCAGGTTGACAACTAAAGCTAACCAGCACACCCTTCCACTGAACCCCTGACTCTCATGTCTTTTTGTTTTGACTCAGTTTTATTCCAGTTGTTTACAGGAGTATGGGTACCTAACCAGTATCTACACCACAGGAAAATGTCTATCAATCATTAACTATAAATCCCCAGGAAGGGGTGGGGCCTCTAAGAGTCATCCTGTCCCTTGCCTGTCTTATGTAGATCTTGTGGCATCTGTGAGTTTGCTAGAGTAGCCTGACTTTTCAGCCAGCTAGCCTGCCCTCAAAACTTTCTGTCCACTTGGCCATTACCCAAATCAAACCACCTGACCAAATGCAATGGATGAGAAAATGACCTGCCAGCATGACAAGGATATGGCTAGAAGTGACAATTAGGGACAGTCATTTAGTCTGCGTGGTCAGTCATGGGAGTCGTGGTTACTGTCACCTTGGCCCTAGTTTTTCAAATAGCACCTTAGCTATTCAAGTGCTGTAATAACTATAGAGTTCTAGACCAGTTATTTCCTGAACATAGGAGCAATATACTAGGAACTGAAAGGAAAGCCTAACAGCATCCGTGCACGCAATTAAAAATTGATTAAATTTTAGAGTATTATACTGGATATAAGTAAGTATACACACTGGTTTCCCATAGCATTCTCCCTCCCCTCCATCCCTCCTCCCTCCCTCCCTCTTCCCTTCTACTCCTCCTCCTCTTCCTCCTCCCTCCCTCCCTCTCTCTCTCTCTCTCTCTCTCTCTCTCTCTCTCTCTCTCATTTGGTTTGATTTTTTTGAGGCAGTCTCAAGTAGTCCAGGAATGGCCTCTAGCTCCCAGCATAGCCAAGATGACTGAATTCCTGATCCTTGTACTGACTGTCACAAATGTTGGGATGTGGCATTTGCCATGCAGTGCTGGGGATCAAACCCGGGGCTTTGTGCATGCACTGTTACCAGCTGAGCCACATGTCCTACTTTGTATATTAACACATTTTCATGAATTGGTGCTAATTTCCATTTTATATTGCAAAGTTCCAAGTGGAAAGGATTCCTTTTTATCGTATATCCATTGTGCAAATAATGGGTTTCATTATGACATTTCCATATGTGTATATTATACCCATCTCCCTTTTTAATGAGAGGAACTAGATGTTATTATTTTATCTTCATGATTACAGATACTAGAGACTGGATAATAGGCAAAGCATACGGCACCCTCATTTCAACCAGAGGCCTCACTTGCATTTTTATGATATGCCAGTTAACTCATTTTAGCTGGAGCAAGTGAAAAACCACCTTAGGTAAAGAAGGATGGTGGAGCTGGGGGTGCAGCTCAGAGTACAAGGCCCAGTCATCAGCATCTAAAAATTTTAAAGGAGTGACTCTTTTCTGCCAGTAAGAGGATAACACCGAGGACATAAAACTGCCAAACTCAAATTGATATCCTTAATTGATAGTAGCTAGAAAAATCAATTTCTTGATTTGAAAAGTTCATTTTACAAAGTGAAAAGATTTCAAGCTTTTTCTCCCAGGTTGGATGAACACCAGTCCCTCCATAAAGATTCTTTGCATTAGCTTCTCAATAGAACAAGATACTTGATGCAGGCTAACGTTAGCTCAGTTTTGGAGATTCACATTCCACATAGCATGGTGTAGAGTCTGTCAAGTTCCCTTCTTGGCTGTGCCAAGTCTTGGGGTGCATCTGAATCTCTGATATGGTCTCCTCCTTGGGGAATTTCACCCTAATATTTCACAAAGGCCCCACCTTTAAACACCACGGATTAAGTGATCACTTAATACCATTAATTTAAGACTTTGGAAATTAAATTCCATGTTTTTCAGAGAACAAACCATTTTAAACCGCAGCAGTCTTCTTTATTGCTTTCCCAATATATTCCTGGTACCATTATAAATAACAGTGGTAATGTCTTGTGGCACACAGTAAGATTCTACACATGTTCGAGTCAATACTATAATTCCTTTGAGATTGTAATTCCAGAGAAAGAAACTTTGGGTCGGTGGAGGCTTTTTGGCCTGCAAGTAGTAGTATTTCCTGTTCAGTATCTTTGTGTAGGCAGATTTAGGATGCAACGCAATGTCTGAGAGGCCAACGCAAGGTCCCTTGGCCAGAGTGTGGGCGCAAATCTTATTCCACAGACGCACTTACCCCACCTTTAATCGCCTTGGCCTCAGTAGCCTAAACCAGAATAAAAGGACGAAGCCGGGCGTGGTGGTCCGCACCTTAAATTCCTCGGGAGGCAGAGGCTGGCAGATCATTGTGATATCAAGACCAGCCTGATCTGCATAGCGAGTTCCAGATCAATTGGAACTACAGGGAAACCCTGTCTCAATAAAACAACAAAGTATAAAGTTTGTAAGAAGTCAGTCAACGAGATCAGTTGTCCGCGCTCACAGAGGCGCCCAGCAAGCTCTAGCAAAAAGAGCCAGAAGAGCTGCCAAGCACACTAGCTCCAAGTGGGGGCCCTTCCGTTCCCGACCCCTGCAGCTCCGCCCCCTGGTCACACCTCCTCCGTGATTGGCCGAGCGTCGAGGCGCGCCGGGCCGCGATAGGTCGGGACCGCAGACCGTCGAGGAGTGCCACGTGTACGTAGGGCCGGACCGGAAGCCTGGCGGAGGAGCGGAGAGAGGGCTGTTAGTGGCTGCGGCCATGGAGCGCGATGAAGAGCAGCTGTCCGCGCGGCCTGCGCTGGAGACCGAGGGCCTGCGCTTTCTGCACGTCACGGGTGAGGGGCGGCGGGGTGTGCGGCCGCGTCGCCGCCATGCTCGGTGGGTCGGCTTCGGGGACAGGCTGGCGGCGGCCGGGGGTTGTTGCGGTCACAGGCCGGGGCGGCCGGCGGGGCCAGGCGGGGAGGGGCCCGAAGCCACCCTGGCTGGGGCGGTGCCCGCGGACTTTCCTCGCTGGTTCCCTTTGAGCCCTTCCCTGTGCGGTAACTGGAGTCCAAGCCGGGCAGCCTGAACACCCGGCGCGGTCTCTGCTTTACAGTCCTTTCCCAGGACTGAAAGGCGTTCCTGAATCGGAAACCGCCCAGCCTCCAAAACCCAGGTCTGCCCCCACTTTCTCCCCAGACTGCTGCCGGAGCCTCCTCCCGATGGTTGAGAGCTTTTGTACCCAGCGATTCCCGAACTGTTGCATTTCTGGCTCAAATATTAACCGCTTAGGGGACTATTTCCTCAAATACATCGTGAAGGGTTTGAAGGCAGGAGTTACTCTGTAACTCCTTTGTTGAATATTATGGAAATATGCCATTTTCAGTTTCTGAAACTGTTTTCTTCTTTTCAGTGGGCTCCCTGCTTGCCAGCTATGGCTGGTACATCCTTTTCGCCTGCGTCCTACTCTATGTGGTCTTTCAGAAGCTTTCTGTCCGACTGAGAGCCTTGAGGCAGAGGCAGCTGGACCAAGCTGAGGCAGCTCTGGGTTAGTGCCGGGCAATAGAGATGGAAATGGTGATTCCTATACCTCTTTGTAAATATTTAAGCGCTGGTCTGTTAGAGAGTAGCAAGTAAGTGAAGCTTATTCACATGGGAGCACTGTAGGCCTCTAAATGAGTTTGGGTTGCAGGTGCATTATTCTATTAGAGATTTTAATGAAATGGAAAAGCTGCTTGGTGCTGTGTTTTATGGTTGCTGCCTGACTTTTGCACATCTGTGTACTTGCAGGAGTTGCCATTTCCTGTTGCACAAGGAGTCACATCTAACACCCTTTTCCTGTTATATTAGAGCCTGATGTGGTTGTGAAACGACAAGAAGCTTTAGCAGCTGCTCGTTTGAAAATGCAGGAGGATCTAAACGCCCAAGTTGAAAAACATAAGGAAAAACTAAGACAGGTATAAGTTGGGTTGATTTCATAAATTCCTTGATGGTTTTTTTTTTGTTTATTTTGCTTGTTTGTTTTATCAGGGCCTGGAGCATGCTAGGCAAGCACTCAGCCACTGATCTGCATCCCCAGCCCTAAACTGGTCTTACTGTAGACTTCGAGGCTCAGTGGTAACAGTAGATACAGTACATGTATTATTTGCAAGCTTATAGAGTAAGGTCTTGTCTTGTTAAATTCAACATGCATTTCCCAGCCTACTGTGTCAATATTGGTAATACAGAGGAAAAATATGCCACAGGGGGGAGTAGATGTGAGTACAGTACTACAGTGAAAGAAAGACTCAGCACGTAGGGACAGAGGGCAGGGTGTGTATGTGGGTGAGTGAATGTGTCTTTTGACATGGATATCGAGAATCAATTCCATTTAGTGTTGATCAGCAAGCTTGCTTTGTGCAGTTTTAAACTATTAAGGGAGAAGTACTTGAAGAAATGTGTCTTTTGTTTGTTTTTGCTTTCAAGTGTTTCTTACAACATTACTCAACAAGATTGTGTGTCCAGGTCTCATGCAGCTAGACCCACAAAAGATACAGGCCTGTCAGCCTATCCCAAATGCTGGGATTATAGGCCTGGGCCACCATGCTTGGCTTCACATTCAGTTTTGTTTGAAGCTGTGTGTTGTACATGGCTTGGTTTGGGAGTGGAAATACTGCAGAGGGCTGCGGGAAAGATAGAGGGCTTACCTGAGGGTTGTGTTGATGGGGAGTAGGAGATAGAGGATCTGATGGTTTTGTTTTGTTTTGTTTTTTCAGCTAGCATAAGGTTTCATGGGAGGAGAGCTAGGAGGTGAGGGGAGAGAAGAACCAGGGGTTGCTGTGAGCATTTGAGTAGATTGACTGGTCCTCATGGGAGTAAGATCACTGTAATCATTTTCTGTTGCTATGGTAGACTACCCTGATCAAAAACAACTTTGAGAAGGGTTATTTTGGCTTACAGTTCCAGAGGGGATATATAGTCCATTGGTCTAACTATTGGTCTCAGTTGAACGCCTCTGGGGTTTCCAGGGACATGTGCCTTTCTGCCACTGCTGGCAGCTTCTCTTATTTCTGCCTGGTCATCCCCCTCTGTCTGGTCTACCTAGCTTGTCTGGGACCCAGAAGAAAAGGACATGGCAAGACAGAAACATACACCCTCCCTCCCAAGTCACCTGTTCCAACAGCCTCCTTCAGTGTCTGTCTGGTTGCCCGTCTTCTGCTTAATCACAAAGTATATGTTATTGACTTATTAAAAACTAATAATTATCAATCTGTGGTGTGAAAGCCTATTATGGAAACTAAGTCTCTACTCTCCCTGGTTCTCTCATACTGCCTGAGTACCCCATGTACTGTTAATTTTTTTAGGTGTTTTTTTGTGTTTTTGTGGGTGGGGGTCTTTTTGAGACAGGGTCTCCTTGTAGCCCCAGCTGGCCTTTTTCTGCCTCTCGAGTGCTGGGATTAAAGGCATGCACCACTATGCCCAGTTAGTTTTTTAGGTATTTTTATAGATACATTTTATTTAAATATGAATGCATTGCGTGAGTACCTTTCTATAGAATTGGAGGCATGGTATGCATGTGTCTTTGAATGTTAGCTCAAATCTTTTGTAGGTTATGCTACAGTTTGCTCTGCATCCATTTGGATGTTTGTTTTATGTTGTTTGTGGGTATATGCATGCCATGGCACACATGCAGAGGCCAGAGGACACCTTTCAAGAATTTTTTTCTCTTGCCATTGTGAGTTCTGGGCATCAAACAGGTCATCAAAACAACCCTGATGTCAAGAAGTAATTAGTTCCTTTGCCTCTTGTGCTTGCAAGCTATGGAAGCTGGAGGAGACAGGCTTAGCAGTGACAGGTTGTAAATGCCATGAAGAAATTTGTGGCATCTGTGCTTTTTAAAACATTTCCTCATATAGCCTTATGACATCATGATTTAACTAGAACCTGAATGAAGTGCAGATAGGTCTGGATTCCTTTGGAAATGAGAGATTGAGTGCCTCTGACAAGCATATCCATGCCAGTACTTGGTTGCGAAAAGAAATGCTCCTGTTTTATGGAGCAGGAAGCAGAGGCAAAAGCCAGATGCATTGGGTTCATACTGACTGCAGGCTTTCTGGGGTGCTCATTATTAAGCATATTTTTCTGCAGAGATTCATTTTCCCTTATGCTTCCATAGTGTTTAATTTACTAGTGCACTTATTCTCCTCTGCCCAAGGCAGAAGTTAAATGGCATAGCCAGGTGTCACCTGGGTGATGACAAAACCAGCCTGCTAGCCACACATCCTCATTCCAAGCCAGTTTTCCACATTACCAAAAATGTGCTGATAAGTTGAGTTTCAAAAGAACTGAATTGCTGTTCTTTTTTCCTATACATCTTTTAATTTCAATGAAGATTTTTAAGATAAAGTCTTATTGCATAGCAGTGTTGCCCATAGAGTCTGATTTGTGTCTCCAAATGTCCTTCAGTGTGGGTCCATCCACTAGAGCCTAGTTAACCTACCAAGAGTCCCATCCTTGTAAGAGACTGTCTCCCCCGCCCCAATTAGTCATCATTTGCCTTTAAAAGTTCCTTAGGTTGGACTGGGCTTTCTTACTTCCCTGTGCTGGAATTTTGTCTAGTTTGAGCTTGCATGGGACTTGAGTATGCTGTCATTGTTGCTGTGAGTTCATATGAGTAACTTCCCAGCTGTCTGGAAGATTCTTTCCACCTTCTCCCCATTTTCCCTTTAATAAACACCTGTCCGACTATCCCCTGTTTTAACCTCCTTCTTCCTCTTTACCCCTTGGTTCCTTTCCATTTGCCTGGCTGCTGTGGTTACATCAGGATATATATTCACATTTAAGGATTTGGAGCTAAAGTCTACAAGTGAGAGAGATCATATTTCACTTGATTTGAGGGTTCCCCTTTCCCCACATCCATGCCTGCATTTGGTATCATTTATTCTCTTGATCTTAGCCATTCTGACTGGAGCTAGATGAAATCTTAGAGTGGTTTTGATTTACATTTCCATAGTTACTAAAGATATTGAACACTTTTAAGGTGTTTCTTCTTTTGAGAGCTCTCTGTTCAGATCTGTAGCCCATTTTTTATTTGGATCATGTTTTCTTGTGTCTTTTTTTTTTTTTGAGTTCTTTGTATATTCTGGATATTAATCCTCTGTCAGATGTCTAGCTAGCGAAGATTTTTTCTTACTCTTTGGGTTTCCTTTGCACTCGGTTGTTTCCTTTGTTGTGTAGAAGCTTTTTAGTTTAATGAGGTCCCACTTGTCAATTGTTGACCTTAATTCCTGAGTGATTGATGTACCATTTAGAAAGTCCATTCCTGGACCTGTATCTTGTAGGGTACTGCCTATGTTTTCTTCTAACAGTTTCAGTATTTCAGGCTCCACATTGAGGTCTTCAATTCATTTGGAGTTGACTTTTGTGTAGGGTGGTAGGTATGGATCTAATTTCATTCTTCTACATCTAGAGATCCAATTTTGCCAACACCATTTGCTGAGATGCTGTTTTTCCTCCAGTCTGTGTTTCTGCCACCTTTGTCAATTGGCTATAATTGAGTGCACTCATGTTTAGGTGTTCCATTTTTGAGCATTAATCTTTCTATCTCAGCCTCCTGAGTGCTGGGATTACAGTGTGTATCACAATGCCCAGCTTGTATAACAGCTTATATTTTTACTTGAACAATATGAAAGCAAATGTTTTGTTTTGAGATAACTTTGAATTAATAATTCTCAAAATCAGCATTGTCTTTGAGAACAGTAGTCCATAAGTACTTTCTATATATATTTCTTAGCTTGAAGAAGAGAAAAGGAGGCAGAAGATCGAAATGTGGGAGAGCATGCAAGAAGGCAGAAGCTACAGAAGGAACGCAGGAAAGCCTCAGGTAGCTGACTTAACCTAGGTGGCATTTCCTAGTGCATAATGAATAATTTGTCAAGTTGAATGCCGGGCTTTTGTTTTGGTTTATCTTTGTGGTTCTGTGAATTGAACCCAGAGCATTGCACACTGAGATATACTCCCAATCCCAAGTAGAATTTATTATTTATTTCTTAAGTCTTAATGTGTGTTCAAACAGGAAGAAGACAGTCCTGGACCTTCTACTTCATCTGTCATCCCCAAACGAAAGTCTGACAAAAAGCCTTTGCGGGGAGGTGGTAAGCATCAAGCAATGTGAAACATTTGGAATTTTCAGTAGTTACAAAATATACTTACCTTTTATCTTTTTGTGTGTGTATGTATGTGCACCTGTATGTGCCAGTGCACACACCCATGCATGCATATGGAAGCCAGAGAAGGATATTGGGTATCCTTTTCTGTCACTCTCCACCTTCTTCCCTTGAAAAGGGGTCTCTTACTGACCCTGAAGCCAGGCTGGCAGCCCCAGCCGTCTTTCTTTTCCCAGCTCCAAAGCACCAGGGTCACAAGTGTGCAAGGCCATGCCTGGCTTTTTATACATGTACTGGGGATTTGAGCTCATGTCTTTGTGCTTGCTCAAAAAACACTCCTCCACTGAGCCTTTATAAAGTTACTTACCTTTTAAAAGAAAGATTCTGTACCTGGGCATGTGGCACATGTAATTTAGCACTTGTGAGGCTGAGGCAGAAGGATTGCCCAAGTGGAGGCCAGCCTGGACTGCATAGTAAGTACATAATTTGTGCCTGATTCCCAAGTCTGGTACTGTAGAGGTGAAGGAGCAGATGCAGAGTGTCAAATGGGCCCTTGATGAGTAATTAGGGTGATTGTGCTTGGGTTTCAGTATTCTCTCCTGGTCCTATGTGAGGGGAGAGTGAGCAGAGGTGAGATCATGCTCTCACAGGCAAGCACAGTGGGTGGATCCTGCTAGCAGTGCTGCCCTGTTTGCTGTGAGTAACTTTCTCAAGAAGATCTAGACAAATGTTTGCTCAGGTTGGCTCTGTATGCAGCATGGCTGGATGGACACTCCAGGTAACACCACAGCAGTGTCTTCCTTTTTCACTTTGAGTTTTTACATCTCTTGAGAAGATGGGATTCATACAAACATCAGCAGACGTTTGTGATTCCACCAAGAGTTCCAGGCTAAGCCTGAGGAGGGATAGGGCAAAGACACTGGAACATGGTATAAGAACCATTTCTGTATCATCCCTCCCCAACAAGGCTCAGGGAACATTGCGGAAGAGGGGGCGGAGAGATTGTAAGAGCCAAGGTTGGGGAGGACTGCTGAGTTATTTAAAAAGGAGAACATGAAGTTGGGGCGGGGCGTGGAGGGGGATATGATAAAAAATATATTGTACATGTATGAAATTCTCAAAGAATAAATAAAAATATATTAAAAAATGAAGAACAGTTCTAGTCTGAAGACTTCAAATTCTCCACAGGAGGGCACAGCAGGGCCCTGAATCGCAGCTCTGAGAATCAAAGGTAGCCTTGGTGGGCCTTAATCAGCATGCTTACAAACTGGACCAATTTTAATACTGCCCTTTAATCCCTTCTGTCAGGAACCTACACCCATCATGCTAGAGAGGAATGAAGCAGATAGAAAGATGCTATTAAAACTTGCCCCAGAAGTCTGTTTTTGAGAGCATGTCATGTCATGATGATATTTAAAGGAGTGGAAGTTGTAGAAAATGAAACCCATGACATGTATTCACCTACTTTGGTGTCTAGAAGTGAGTTAGGGCCAGCCTGACCATTCTGGTTTTGTAGATGGGGAAACTAAAGCACAGGGATTATGGTCTGGAGATTGCACTGCAAGTGAGGAGCAGAACCAACCGCATTTAAGATCTGGCTGATTCTGGAGCCAGAGTCACTCACAAGTCCTTAGTTGCCCATTGGCTTTGGGCAGTTCATGTGGGAGGGAGAAAGGATGTAGGTGACCAATTTCTGATTCGAAGTTTGTTTTGGTTGGTTTGTTTTCAGACTAGGTCTTATGTAGTCTAGGCTGGTCTCCAACTCACTATGTAGCCAAGGATGACCTTGACCTGATTATACTGTCTCTACCTCCCAAGTTCTGGGATTACAGGCCTGTGCCACCACACTCTTCTTTCTGTTCTGGTTTGAATTTTGTTTGTTTTTGTTTTTGAGATAGGGTCCTTGCTTTATAAAGCCCAGCTGTTTTGGAACTCAAAATGCAATGCAATCCAGGCTGGCCTTGAATCCAAGGTGATCTCCCCACCTCAGTTTCCTAAGTGGTGGAATTGCAGGTGTGAGCCACCACACCTAGCTGTCTTGATTATTTTAGAATCTATTTTCTGTTGTTTCAGTAGCCTTTATTTGAATGTGTGCTTTTTATTAAGCACTGTAATTGCCTTCATATAATTAAATCAGACCGTCTTGAGTATTCTCTGATTGATTCGTGTTTAAAGGAGTTAGGACCAAGAAACTGAATGACTTTCTTTTTCCCCTCCATCAAGCCAATTAAAAAAAAAAAAAAAAATCTGTGTTTGAGGAAAAGGAGCCTGGTGTGTGTGTGTGTGTGTGTGTGTGTGTGTGTGTGTGTGTACGTACACATGTATGGCATGTGTGTATGGTGACCAGATATGGATGTTGAGTATTTTCAATTGCTCCGTCTTATTTTTTGAGACAGGGTCTCACTGGCATGTACCTCACCAATTAGGCTAGAATAGAGTGGCTGGCCAGGAAGCACCCCCCATTCTCCTGCCTCTGCATCCCCAGCACTAGGATTACAGGTACACCTCTGCATGCCAGCTTTTAACATGGGTGCTCAGATCCTTATGCTTGTGCAACAACCACTTTACCAGCTAAGCCATCTCCACAGGCCCCTAAAAATGCTTTTTTATATAAGAGCTTAAGTTTCTGGGAAACATCCTTGAAGATGCAATCTATATTTTTGCAGCCCTCTGCAGGCTGGATTTGTGGTTGTAGTTTTAATGTAAAATGGTCCCAGACTTCCAGCCATCAAAACTGTTGTTTCCTTTTCCCTTCCCAGGTTATAACCCTCTGACTGGTGAAGGCGGTGGAACCTGCTCCTGGAGACCTGGACGCAGGGGCCCATCATCTGGTGGATGAAGCTAAGAATCTTGTTAATGTTGCTTTTGACATTAGCAAGATGAATCCTTAACCCTCAACTCAATTGCCTTACGCACACTTTCACAGTGACTAGCCCAGAACGGGTAGGGCTTATTTCCATTCTTTACTGTACCTGTGTTTTAAGGGCTTTGATCAGTATGGGATCTAGGCATGGCCATCAGTCACACTCCACTTAGAGATGAGATAGCTATTGAAGTCGTTGATTTTATAGCTGCTTGCTGGTTGGTAGGTGAAGACCTCTTGCTGCATAGCAAACTTCATAAAAGAGATCCACTCTAGGATCTATCTCTAGGGTAAAAGTCCTTGCTGATAGGACAGTCTCTGTGACAGGTTGCGTTGAATGATGTCTTCCTTATAAATGGTGAGCCCACCAGTGAGGATTACTGATACACACAGTTGATAGGGTTTGCTTCTGTATATTTTTATGTACAGACCTTTATAAAAAAAGAAATTTAAATATTTAAAAATAACATTTTTAGCATCTTTATTAAATTCAAGGAAATTTCTTTGTGAGCTTGACTTTGTCTATCAGATATTAAACAGCTTTTTATCAGTCAGTCTCCAATTATTATTACTACTGATCTCTCTACTGATTCTTCAGAAAGGAGCATGGCTAGTGGCAAACAACTGCAGCAATTTTAAGTTGACACTCCTTGGGGTTTAGCTACAAAATCAGTCTTGGAGTTTAAGTGTTCTGTTAATATGTTAAAGAAACAGAAAACCTGAGTGTGGTGGTGCACACCTAGAATCCCCAAAAGAGTCTGAGGCCTGAGGACCATTGCAAAATTGAGACCAGCCCTCAGCTACATGGTGAGTTCAAGGCTTGCTTAGGGCTACATAGTGCCTAAAAATATAAACTAAACCACACAATGTAATAAACTGTTAAAATGTGTTTTTAAAATATAGAACATTCATTTCTTAAAAGGAAAATGGCAAGACATGGTGTTGCATGTCTTTAATCACTGTAGACACATAAAGCAGGATTGTCACACTGACCTACATAGCAAAACTCGGTCTTTTTTTTTTTAAAGCCCAACAACAAACTCTTGCTTCCAGATGATGCTCGAGCTGCCCAGGCTCCTGAGGGCCATTCCCTTTATGCCATGGCTCATTGGTTCTGTTCTTGAGAGGACAAGAAGAGCCAAATAATAAAATGTTTTAGACTTCACTGATTATGTTTTTCACATAGTCTTTGGTTTTTATATTATTTAAGGACTGCTTAAAAAACAGTAGCAAGGGGCTGGAGAGATGGCTCAGCAGTTAGGTGCACTGACTGTTCTTACAGAGGACCCAGGTTCAATTCCCAGCCCCCACATGGTGGCTAACAACCATCTGTAAACTCCAGTTCCAGGGGATCTGAAACCTGACCTCCGTAGGCATTGCATAACACAGTTGCACTTACATACATGCAAGCAATACACTCACACAAAAATAAAAACAATAAAATAAAAAACAACCCCAGCAAAACAACTCTTAACTCATGGGCTGACTTTGACCTGCATGCTGTAGATTATGCATGTTGGCTATAGAATCAGTCATGGAAAGGAACAAAATCAAACCCAAATAGTGCACTTAGCTAGAAAGTTGTAAATCTGATAGAGGGAGACTATTCTGTGGTTGCTTTCAACATATAAAGGAGAAAACAGTCTGATTATGTGGGATTTGAAGTCTCCTGCTTGACATAGTGGTGGTCTCCTGTGGTCGCAGCACTTGGGAAACTGAGGCAGGAGGATTTCAAGTTTGAGGCCAGTCTGGACTATATAGTGAGACCTCTGTAGTGTAGAAATCTCCTGGGGAGGGCTTGAGAGAAGAGGTATAGGGGATAGAATGAAAGCAACAATAAAATTAGAAACATCTTGTCTGAAGGCTTAAGATTCTGAGTCAAGAGGGATTGTATGTCATTAAGTGGCTCTCAGCCAAGCTGTAGTGTAGATTTGTATAAATAGAAACCAAGAGAAATAGGAAAATAAAGATACTAAAAGGGTATAGTTTTGTGTATTGTTAGATGGACCTGGCAGGGTTTGGTGGTGGGGGAGAGCTGGTATGTGAGGAATTGATCAGGAGTGTAACGTGTTATTTATGTATAAGTAATGAGTGTTATCTATTGTGATATTAGCTGTGGGTAGTAGTAGTCAAGAGCATTTGCTATATGGTAGATACAAGCTTGCTGTTTAGTTCTCTGTGCTCTTGTGAGGCAGGTACTATAAATAACTGGTTTTCAGGAACTGAAGCTTAGAGAAGATAAGCAACAAGCTCAGTCCTAATCACTGTAGTCCATTTCATCCTTGGGTTCCTGTCAGAGGCTTTAGGTAATCAAGGTGCGGGTAGTTTAATCCAGCTAAAGAAACAACTATCTTGTGGAAATTGTGGCAAGTTGAGGGCAGTGAGTGAGCATTTCAGATGAGTGGTCTGGGGTTGCCAAACAAAATAGATCCTTCTGCTCTAGAAAGAAGGAATTGTGCACAGGAGTACAAAGGCCAAAACTTGTTTGAAACCCAGGCTGTGTAGTCTGCCTTACCCATGTAGAGAAAGACTGCCACTAAGATCAGAATGTGCCAGCACAGAATGCCAGGACTGTGAAACTGATGATGGCCCATTCTCTTGCTGTTCTTTCTCACCTTCCTGACTTAACTGCCAGGTTGTCCTAAAGCTTAGTCTCTAGACTTTTTTTTTTTTTTTTTTTCCAAAAAAAATTTTTATTTATTTGGTATGAGTGCACATGTGCCTCAGCACAATTTGTGGAGGTCCGAGGACAACTTTGGCTTTGATTTAGTTTTAATTGTGTGTGTGTGTGTCTGTTGGTATGTGCATGTGAGTGCAGGTGCCCGTGGAGGGCAGAAGAAGACACTGAGTCCCCTGGAGCTGGAGGTGTAGTTGTAAGCTGCCCCATGTGGATGCTGAGAACCAAACTCTGGTGTCCGCAAAAGCAGGAAGCTTTCCAGTCCCATCCCCTGCCCCCCCCCCTTTCCCCCCGGACAACCTTGCAGGAATTGCGTCTCCTTCCATGTGGATCCTGGGGCTCAAGCTTGGGTCCTCAAACTTGGCGATAAGTTCCTTTACCCACTGAGCCATTTTGCTAGCCTGAGGACCTATAATCTATTATCTTTTTTACAAGCATTCTTCTTCAGTCTCATTCAGGAGACACATACACACACACACACACACACAACTTTTAAGACGTAACCTCTTCAGGAAGTCCAAAAGTCAGTTTGGAGCCACTGCTACTTGCCACTTAGCGTTTGGTCTTCCTTCTGTAGTAGAACCATACCTTACCTCACTCTACAATGAAAGTCTTCCTCACCTGTGGATGGATCTTGGGCACCTACAGCAGCCTGACACCTGTAAGTGTTGTGAAGTTCAAACAGGCAAGAAGGTCACCGCTGCTCTCATGTTTGATGTAAGTGATGATGTGCATCTCATGAACACCTCTCAGTGATGCACAGGTACATATGGCTTGAGATAGCATACTTTGTCTAGGGAAGGAAAATACTCTGTTGAAAACTGTGAGCAGGTCAGGCTGCTGTACACCTTTCAGTCTGCCGGGTAAGACACATTGCATAGTGACAAAAACAAATGACTGAGGAAGGCATAAAGTGGAAAATTGGGTTGGAGTAAGAAATGACCTGGGACTGGAGAGATGGCTCACAGGTCAAGAGCACTGGCTGCTCTTGCAGAGGATCCAGGTTCAGTTCCTAGCACCACATGGTGGTGTACAACTATCTGTAACTCCAGTTCTAGGGGACCTGACAACCTTTTCTAGCCTCCATGGGCATTGCACACAGTTGGTACACTTATATGCAGGCAAAAACACTTGTACATAAAATAAATCTTTAAAAAAAAGAAGCAGTCTGACGTAGGCAGGAGCCTAACATGTGGGTCTTGTAGTTTCATTTTAATTGCGTGGAATGTAGGAGCAGAAAATGTTAGCCAATAGTTGAGATGAAGAATCCACCTTCTCACTACTTAGCTACTGAAACAAAGTCACAGAAAAATTTGTCTCTCCCAGTTCTAAGCCTGAAAGTCCCAGATCAAAGTACCAATGTGGTTGAGCTGCGGTTAGAGCCCTCTTCAGGTTGCAGGTAGCCAAATTTGCTTTTCACATGACCCAGAGAGCAAAAGAGCTCTTTGGAGTCTTTCATAAGAGCACTAATGTCCAGTTCCAGAGAACTCCACCCTCATGACCCAGTTACCTCCCTTCCAAACACCATCACATTGGAGGTAAGGATTTCAACCTCAGAATTTTGAGGGTAAGAACTGGCAAGATGTCTCAGTAAAGGTGCTTGCTGCCAAGTCTGAGAACCTGAGTTCAATTCCTGGCACCCACGCAGTAGAAAGAGAACTGATTCTGGCAAGTTGTTCTCTGACTACCACAAATGCTCCCATGTACATAAATAGATGTAAACAAAGGAATTTTGAGGGAGTACAGACTCATCAAGAGAGTCAAGGCTCCAGTATCTAGAGCAGTTTCTGACATATTCTCAGTAGCCACACCATCTTTGGGGTCCGTGTGGTAATGTGGAAATGCCTTCGTAGTGCTTGGGAAACATTGGCCTCTTGCTGCCTTTATAGCATCATGAAAGCAGACCCAGTGCCACACAACATGTTTTAGAAGAAAATTTCTGCAGATGTGGATACAGCCCTCCTTACAAGTATTCCAGACCTCAAAATTCATCTTACACCCCTCCTTGCCATCATCGAAACTACCTGTGGACCCTGGAACAGAAGTTGTAATCAAAATTTAAGAGCAGTGAGCTTGCTGAGGTGGCCTGATTTGGAAGATGCACCCATTAGCATTTCCTGCTTCTGACTGCTCTGAGTGTTTAAACCAAGCTCTTATCCCTGAGGCTCTGAGTTTTGGCTTCTTAGATCTTGGTTGCACTCTGGCTCTGTGGTTAGCAGGTGGCTCGGATGGAAGTTGGCTGGCCCCATACCTGGCAATTGGCTGGTTGTCAGCTGGAGAAAAGGCATTTGGCCCATTGTACTGCTTGCTCAGTCATAGGCAGGCCAGGCTAACCTGAGCATGTTCATATGCCAGTTCAAGAACAAGGTGCTGTGGTGGTTTGAATGAAAATGTCCCCCATAGGCTCCAAGTATTTGGACATTTTGTCCCCAGATGATGACGCTGTTCTGGGAGGTCTTAGAAGGTGTGGCTATCCTGGAGAAAGCATGTCACTGGGGATGGGCTTAGAGAGTTCTTAAACCTTGCCGATTTCCAAAGTGCCTGCATGGTGATGTGAGAGCTTAGCTTCTGCTTCTCCTGTTCCAGCCACCTCCAGCCACCATGACTCCCTGCCATGACAGACTGTAATTTCCCTGGAACCGTAAGCTCAAATAAACTCTTCCTTCTATAAATTGCTTCGGTCAGTGTTTCTATCACAGCAACAGAAGAGTGACTAGTACAGGTGCCAAAGTTTCCAAATCTTTTGTTTGTTTTAGCATCTTGCTGTATTTTGTTACTATTGGGTATATTAGTGAGTACAGGCACATACGTACCACAGTGCATATGTGGAAGTCAGAGGACAACTTTGAGGAGTCTCCTTCCACCTTGTTCAGTCTTTCTGCCTCCCTGCATACTCCACACTAACTGGCCCTCAGTTTCCAGCTGATTCTCCCGTCTCCACCTCCCATATTACTGAGATTATAGGTATGAGCCACTTCATCCAGCTTTTTGAAGGTTCTAGAGATTGAACTCAGGTTATCTGCTTAAGTCTTAACATCTTCACATTTTGCTACAATCCCATTGCCCAAGGCAATTCATAAGGCTGCTCCCAATAAGCTAGAGAGAGGCCAATGCTCAAATGGAAGTACTTATCGTATAAAGCTAACATTGTAAGGAAATAGATGCAGGGAGGGGAAGAAGTCTGCCTAGATGCCATTCGGTGAACTCGGGCAGCCTTCATTCACATCTTGCAGTGTGTGAATCTGTCCCAGTCTGGATCAAGGCTAGCCCACCTTGTCCTTAAGGTTCATCCCCAAGATTTACAATCCAGAGAACTGAGTAACAGTTGTGCACAATCCTGCCCTGACCAATAAACTGGACATTCTCAACCCCCAAAAGCCTAAAAATGTCCAGAATGGGTGCTAGCAGGAAACAGTAGCACATGCACACTGGTTGAGGAACATTTAACAAGTACTCTGCAAACAGGCAGGTAAGGTTTAGACACAGTA